GGACCATGACATCAGGAAGGTGATGCCATGACTTACAAGTAAATTTGGATTTAAGTGGGGGGTGTGTGTGTGCAAAGTCACCTTCCTCCTCTGGAGTCATCAGGGTCCAGTGGCAAGATATAGAATTAGGATGACTGGAGATGGCTCCTGAGGTAGAGAGACCAATTAGATGGCAATTGCAATAGTCTAGGTAGGAGATGATGAGGGCCTGAACTAGGGTGGTGGAAAAGCATTTCAACTTAACCAAACAACTTTGGGCTGAAGGTAACACAATTTTTGAAGTACACAGATTTCTTAAATTCTTAAATTCCAAAAGAACAAAAACTATCATATGTGACATTGCAAAAAAAATTACTGAGAAGAAATCACCAATTGTTGATTGATGCCTAGAATTATTCCTCATCACCTTCACTTCTTGGGAACCTCAAGGTTTAGCTCAAATACAATTGTCTTTTAAAGGCCTCTGATTATCAATAATCGATGTATATATTTGTGTGTGTATATCTTTCTTTCTATCTATCACTTATATAGGGGCAGCTAGGTGATGAAGTAAATAGAGCATCGAGCGTGGAGTCAAAATGACCCATCTTCCTGAGTTCAAATCTGGCTTCAGATACTTGTTAGCTGTATAATCCTGGGCAAGTCACTTAACCCCATTTGCCTCATTTTGCTCATCTGTACAATGAGCTGGAGAAGGAAATGGCAAACCACTCCAGTATCTTTGCCAAGGAAATCCCAAATGGGGTCACGAAGAGTTGGACACAACTGAAAAATGACCAAACAACAACAACAAACGTCATCTATACTTATATCTTTGCTGGTTTCATCTGTGAATATGTTTTTATGTGGTAGAATATGGGTTTCCTGAGGGGAAGGACTATCTCATTTTTGTATCTATATTCCTGGCACCTCGCACAGAACTGGGTACATGCTTGATTGGTTGACCCATGTGCCTACTTGTTATTGTTGTTGTTGTTCGCTCTTCATTCTCGAAGAGGACTATGACATCAGGGAGGTGATGCCATGACATGCAAGTGAATTGGATGTAAGTGAGGGAGGGCTGTGCAAAGTTACCTGCCTCACTTTCTCCTCTAGAGCCATAAAATCTTCAGGAAACTAGTCTGTCTATAATTCAGGGTATCCTTGAAGAAAATACGAGAAAGGAACACAGACTTTTACAGATCATTTGCTGAAGGAGACCCCATCTTTATACAACCACCTGAGAGGAGTAGGGAATGTACAATGCCTCTGTATCTTTTGTTTGTTGATTATTAAAACAACAAAACAAAACAAAAACCCAAGCAAACGTTTGACTTGGTAGAACGAAATACAGCCTTATTTATTTCAACTCAATTTCCATTGGTGTCAAATTTGTTTCGAATGAAGGATCATTTAAAAAAAATTCAGTTCCAAATTCTCTCCTCTCCACCCCCTCTCCTACCCATTGAGAAGGCAACAAATATGATAGCCATTATAGATATGAATTCGTGAAAAAATATGTTTCCATATTAGGTATGTTGTATGGAAAAAATCCCAACAAAGATGAAGTGAAAGAATATGTTTCAATCTGCATTTAGAATTAATCAGTTCTCTCTCTGGAGGCAGACAGCATTTTTCATCAAGAGTCCTCTGGAATTATTGTAAATCGTTGTTGATTTTGTAAATATTGTATTTACAAAACAGTTACAATATTGTAAATCAACATTGATCAGAGTAGCTAAGTCTTTCATAGTTGATTATTGTTATAATATTGTTGTACAATAGTATTCTGTTGTGTTCATACGTCAGAATTTGATCAAACATTCTACAATAGATGACCACCCTTTTCTAGCTTTTTACTTTCACAATTGGCATATACAATTTAGCCCATTCTCCTTCCTTTTCAATTTTGGGTCCATCTGCACAATGGGCTATCCATTCACTGTATATCACAGTCTGAACAATAGGCATCTTTCCATTTGATTTCTCCTGTGTGAAATTTGAGGCTAGTATGTTTAGTGTGGTTGTGAATCTTATTTCATCATACAGAATTCATTTAGAGATGCAACCACTGAGATAACTTTGTTCAATAGCTTTCTGATTACACATCATTGCACTATTAGTAGCATTGCAAATTGATTCAGTCTCTTTTGGAAAACAATATGGCATCATACAAAAAAGAACTAACTACAAAACTGTTCATAACTTTGATTCTAGTGATCCCACTACTAGGACTACACCCTATATATCCTGTCTTATTGACAGGAAATAAGTAGACCTATTTTTTAAAAAAAAATTAGCAGAAGTGTTCCTAATAGCAAAAAGAAAAAGAAAAAAAAATCCATGTGTCTAATGATAATGGAATATTTCAACAAATGTGTAATGGACTATTATTGTGTTTTGAGAAATTACAAATATGGAGAATCAAAACCATATGAGGTTTATATTAAATGGTGTAGATTGAATAATAGTAACTGACATTTATTATCCAGTTTCTTCATCTTCACAATGATATGCTTGGCCCCCATCTCTAGATATAGGATTCTAGAACCTTCACATCTTCAGTATTTTCTCTTATAGGTTACTGGCTGCTATATTTGTTCTTTATTTGCCAATAATAAAAAGTAAACATTCTGATAACTTCATATGCTTCAAAACCAAAGAATAGCTGTTAAATATGTGGAAAATATTCATTGAAATTAAACTGTTCTTTTATCAGAACCATAGGACAGCTAGGTGCTGCAGGCTCTGGAGTCAGGAAGACCTGAGTTCAAATCTGGCCTCAGAAACTTTCTAGCTGTGTGACCCTGTGCAAGTCACGTAATCCTGTTGCCCTCAGTTTCTTCATCTGCAAAATGAACTGGAGAAAGAAACGGCAAACTTTGCCAAGAACACCCCAATGGGGTCATGAAGAGTTAGACACAACTGAAATGACTGAATAACAAATATCAGAACCCTATACTAGGTCCCCTAGGTAAAAATAGTATTTGGACAATCAAAATTTATATTGTATGTGTAATAAAACATTCATCAAGAATTTAGTATTCACCTACTCTATGTAAGACACTGTTCTAGACATTGGGGATAGAAAGTTAAACTGAAAAGTTGTCCCTGTCCTGAAGTAGTTGAATTGTGCTAAAATAATAGAAAAACTTATGTAAGAGAAACCTAAATAAGCCAACAAACAAAAAATTAAATAAAATGAATGGGTTTAATTAGTTGATTTCTAAGGGTCCTTTCAGGTCTAACATTATACTGTAGCATTCTATGATTTTATAAAATTGATGTTGGCTATGCTTTGGGAGAGGTCTTCTATCCTCAGAGAAATTATTATGAGGCATTGAAAATTGTCGGTCAGAGTCACCTGTCTCAGGTCTCCGAGAATTGTTTCAAGACTTTAGTAACTATTTGATTATCCACAACTGTCCCTAAAAGAGGGAAATAATTAGGTTATACCACTGTCAGTTGGGGGCAGCTAGGTGGTGCAATGGATAGAGCATCAGGCCTGAAATCAGGAAGACTCATCTTCTTGGGTTCAAATCTGGCCTCACATTTACTAGCTGTGTGGTCCTGGGCAAGTCACTTAACCCTGTGTGCCTCAGTTTCTTCATCTGTAAAGTGAATTGGAGAAGAAAATGGCAAAGCACTCCAGTATCTTTGCCAAGAAAACTCCAAATGGAGTCCCAAAGAGTCAGACATAACTGAACAACAGTAACACCATTACCAGTACATACACATCCACCCACTAAGGATGGAGAGAAAGAAATATCCCAGAAATATTCATCAAAGCTAGATTAATGTCTAGCAAGCTCATTGTCACAAAGGCAGCTAGACGTCCCAGTAGATATACAATAGTGGATTTGGAGTCGGGAAGACCTGAGTTCAAATCCCTCCTCAGACACTTACTAGTTGTGTGATATGGGCCAAGTCTATCTTTCTCAGTCTCAGTCTCCTGATAGGTAAAATGGGGATAATAATAGCACCTACTTCAGGATCAGGTGAGGTAAAAATAAGAAAAATGCTTTGGAAACCTTAATATGCTATAGAAATGCTAGCTATTATTATTATGAAGATTTTCAATGGGTGTGGGCAGTGATACCCAAATATCCTCCTTCTGTCATATGGAAAAAAAGGTGGATAGCAACACAAAGGATTAGAAATATTAATATCAGTATTTTATTTGTTGTGATTTCATAGATACTAAAAAAGACTTCTAGGTATCTCCAATATCAAATATTTCCTCTACCTGCGAAGTGATAACTAAAAATGTCTTCAATAGAGAAAAAAGCCTCTATTCCATAATTTGAAATAAGGCTTAAAATATATTAACTGCCAGATAAGAAATATACATTTATTTTAATTTACTTGGAGGCATATACAATTGAAAGCAGGCCCCATCCTAATATCAGATGTATATTAATAGAAGGGGTAAGAGAAGCATTGGGTAATTGAAAGGCAATTTATATTATATTGTGGTTGAGAAAAAGATACTTCATGATCTAGCTTTAGCCTGTTTTAATTTCCATTTTTATTTCATATTTTTCTTCTTTATACATTCTTTATTTTAGCTAAATTGAACTGTTAGCTGTTCTTTGAACTTTTCATTCCATCTCCCACTCTGGTGCATTTGCCCAAGCCCAGTGCTAGAAATGTACTTCTTCCTCATCTGTGCTCCTCAGAATTCTTGTCTTGATTCAAGGCTCAGTCGACTCTAAAAATTTTTCTCTGGTTTCTATTGATGTGTGTGTTCCATTTGTAGTTACTTTTCTGTGTATGTTTTGTAGACTTTGTGGAAATTTTTTTGGTCACTGTAATTTTTTAATACATTTGTTGAAATGAATTTAAAAGCAAAAGGGGCAATTGAGGGCACATTTTGTGGACTTGAGATGTTTCTTAGGGCTGTATCTCATTTCTATTACCTCATTGGCAACTACATTATAAAAATAGTCTGAAGATTATGAAAATAAAAGTGTTCTTTTTAAATAAAGAAGATGTATCAATGTGTATTTCCCCCTTTTCAGAATATAAAAGCATACGAGCAGCAACTCAAGTTTCACCAAGCAACATGTCAGCTGGACAGGTGTCACACCAATGCCCCACCAATGGTAATGTTCTTTCCTCAGTAGTTATGGTTGTGAGGGGCACACATGGGCAATGCAGGCCTCCAACACTGCAGGGCCCCGTATCTCTTCTCTTCTCAAGAAGTCCACATGCTGCTGCTCTCCTGGGCACAGTGTCTCTGCTGGAGAATAGGGCACTCACTTTGTCTTCCTGAGTTTATTCCTCTTCCCAGCTCAACTCTCAGCTACCCAGGCTACTTTTCCTGGAAGGTGCTTCCTGCCCCTCTCTTTTCCATGCCTGTGTCTGCTGGATATGGTGTCTCCTATTGGGCAATTAGCTCTGATGCAAGACTCCATGGCTTGGAAGGTTGGGTTAAGAGGGGGAATTTCTCTCTCCTCCAATTCCTTCCTCCTCCTTCCACCTCTTCTTCCTCTCTCTCTCCCCTGGCATGGCTAATCTAATGACCAGCTGCCCTTTTCACTCTATCAGGGAGAACTCCTAGAGGAAGGTTAATAGTGCCTGGACATGTCTTTGCATTTCCTTTAATGCCTTCACACATCATTACCTGATTTATCAACTATGCTGGGGGATCATTTAGTAGGGTCCCAACTCCTCCCTCTCCTCCAATTCACTTTGGGATTTTCTTAAGTGTTTATCCCATGAATGTGTAAGTTCACAGAGCTGGGAGTCAGATCAGGAGCAAGTACCTCCTCAAATGGGATGTGGTGGGAGGAGCTGCTCCAGAAAAGTCTTTATGATTCTCTTGTTTTTATGTCCAGTTACCAACTCAGTGTCTGCACAGGTGAATACCATGACCAACCTCTCCTGCTTTACTCACTCAATAAAGGATCTTATAATGACAACATGGGAAATACTCCTCAGAGACAGAGCTCCCTGTATCATAGCTTACAGAGAAGACAAGAATGAAACCAAGGAAACCAACTGCTCTGGTGAAGGAATAACCTGGGAATCTAGACCTGAGTGGAACCACAAACTTCAGATAGACCCAGTGACTGTTGATAATGATGGATATTATAAATGTATTTTTGTAACACCTGCTGGGAATTTCCAAACTGTCCATCACCTCACTGTATTAGGTAAGGAACAGCTTCTCTCAGGCTATTATGGGTAACCAGATCCAGGACTGGAAAACAGGTAACTTGCTCAGAACCACCAACTCCCTCTAAATCTCTCTCTCCATCTTCTGTAGTGCCTCCTGTAGTAACCCTGTCTGAAGAGGGGAATCGAACTGTTGAGTGCAAGGCTGTTGCTGGGAAGCCAGCTGCCCAGATCTCCTGGGTCCCAAAGGGAGACTGCTTCACTGTGAATGAAACTCATCATAACAGGACAGTGACTGTGAAAAGTACCTGTACCTGGAAGGGCTTCAATGGGTCTAGTGCCACCTGCTCCATTTCTCATTTGACTGGGAACAAGAATGTGTCCATAGAACATCAATCCCATAGTAAGTAGCATTTCTCTCTTATGCTTGTGTTTGATTCACTATTCATTCTTCCAGAGAAGTAATATTATGAGAGAAAAGTGGTATTCTAAGAGGCATAAGAATTTTACATTTAAAGCTGCCTCAAAATCAAATGAGAAATGACTAAACACAGAACAAAGATATTCTTGCACACAGTTTTGGAATGAATCCTTTCTTCTTTTTTTCATTCCTCTGCCAGTGATGGTTGGTTTTATCCCCCATTCATCCTCCTTTGACAGGTAATTTAAAAGGAACTCATTTAACCAGGGTGAGGGAAAAACGTATCTGCTTGATCTGACTATGGGAGTATTAAATTGAACGTGACATGTTGAACCACCCACTTAAAACTACTAGGCCAGATAGAGAACAGCAGGTGTGACATAAGGAGCACAGCAGAGGAGATGCTGAATAATGCACAGGAGACAATAACCAGGGAAATGGGCAAAAACCATATTCATGACCTCATGCCAATGTCTTGGATAGTGTAATCAATAGAGACCTCCATTAAAGCAGGTAAATATAAACTCATGGTATCACTAAGATGTTATGGGTTGTGACTCATGAATGGATTACATCAGTAGAAGGATATATACATATATCTAAAAAGATATCATCAAATAATCAAGTATTAAGAGTCTACTATATGCCAGACACTGTGCTAGAAACTTGAGATATAAAGACAACAGTGAAACTGTCCCTGTCCTCAAAGAGCTTGCATTCTAATGGGAGAGTCAGCATGTACATATATCAGTATATAAAAAACCTATATAGAACACATATCAGAGGAGTGGAAAACATTAAGAACTAAGGGGAGGAAATGGGAACACCAGGAAAGGCGTCTTATGAAAGGAAGAACTTGAGCATGAATGAAGCCATGTATTCCAAGAGGCAGAAGTGAAGAAGGAGAGAATGCTAGCCATGGGGTATTGCCGTGCAAAGACATGGAGAGGGGAGGTGAAGTCTCACGGTAAGGAGCAGCAACAAGTAGCTAAGTATGGCTGGACTTTGAGAGTATGGAGGTGAGTAATGTATAAGAAAGCTGGATAGAGAAGATGGGGCTAGGTTGTGAAAGTCTTTAAAAGAGATTACATTTAATCCTAGAGGTAATAGGGGATCACTAGATTTTATTGGAGGGGGTAACGTGGTTAGATCTTCACTTTAGGAAAATAATTTTGGCTTATCTGTGGAGGATCAATTGGAGTAGGGAGAGACTTGAGTGAGACCACTTAGGAGGACTATTTCAATAGTCCAGGTGAGAGTTTATGATGGTGTGAACCAGGGATGTGGTTGTGTGAGTAGAAAGAAGGACAAGAGATATTATGTAGATAAAATCAAGATTTGGCAATAGATTGGCTATGTGGAGTTAATAAAAGTAAAGAGTTGAGGATAATAGATTAGATGGAAGACACAGAAAAATTGTATTCTCAAACAAGAAGATGGGACTAAAAGTCTAAAGACCTAGGTTTGAATCTTATCTAAGACACTCACTAGCTGCAAGTAATTTAAACTTTTGGAACCCAAATTTCCTCAAATTTGAATAATACTACTTCGTTGTCCTGTCTCACGGTATTGTGAGGAAAGCATCTTGCAAATCTTAAAAGTGCTATATAAATGTGAGCTATCATTATTATTTGTATTTTATGAAAAAATATTTTAAAAAATTTAGAGAAAAGATAGGTAGTCTCATGACCTCAGTTCCAGAAAAGGGAAGTTAGCTCAAGAAATAAGGAAGGTCTCAGGAAAAAAAATTGACAATGAAAATACAAATTATTGTGATAAGGAAGAAAAGGTGCCCAAGGAAAAGAGTATCTTTGTATGGCTTGCTTATTAATAAATTCAGCTAAAAACGATATGTGTACAAAAGATGGAACCAAGTTCAGGTAAATGAAGATGGATACAAGAAAAATATCTTGAAAATGACCTCACAAATGGCTTGTGAAAAAATGGCAATATCAATGACTTTTTATAAAGCCAAGGAAGAGGCATAAAGGACAGACAAAGGGAGTAGGATGTTAACTGATGTTTACTCTTTTGTTTCTGTTTTATCTACTAAGGAAAACAATCTTCAGATTGTTAAGGATAGAGCAAAAACAGTTAAGAAGGGATTGAAACTCAAGATAATTCATGGGATCAGAAGAATCAGAGCACCTACCTAAACTTTAATGAGTTACATTACCTGTTCCAGATGAATGTTATGCTAGGATAGGGAGAGAACTCAGAGATCACAGTCAATAACCTCTTGGAGGAATAGTGGAGAACTCAGTTCATGATATAGGTTTGGAAGTGGACAATGTTTGTTTTGTTGTGTTGGTGGCTTCTTCAAACTGTAGACTGCTGAGCTAAGCTTTGATTCCTGAGAAAAGTCTAGAATGCATCCTTAAGGGATGGTTTATGAGGAATTAGAAAGGGGAGTAGGTGTTCATGGGCTCATTAAGAAGTTATATTGGACAAACCTCATTTCCTTTGTTAAATCTTTTTTTTTTTGCAAGCCCCAGTAGACTTTTATTGAGTGATTTCCACCAGGAAGAATAATGAGAAATAATCCTCAGTCATACCTAAAAGTTGTGGGGATAGGGGGAGGGGAATAGTTGAGGGACGTCTTACTCACTGGGAAATACTGAAAAAGAACTAGGCTCCAGAATTAGTTTTGTTAAAAAAAAAAAAGCTGATCGGTGATGCTTTGTTGTTGTTGTTCAGTTGTTCAGTCTTATTAGACTCTCTGTGACCCCATGGACCATAGCACACCATACTGTCTGTGGAGTTTTCTTGGCAAAAATACTGGAATGGTTTGCTATTTCCTTCTCTAGTGGATCACCTTTTGTCAGAACTCTCTGCTATGACCTATTCATCTTGGGTAACCCTGCATGGCATAGCTCATAGTTGCATTATGCAAGCCCTTCCATCATGACAAGGCAGTGATCCAGGACCAGAATCCAAGGTGTCCCTTAGTGCAAAATAATCAGTAAAGATCACTTCCCCTTACCCCCTACCCCTGTTTTCTGAACATGGAAAGCACAGTCCTATTTCAGATGAGAGCAAGGGCTAACTCTGACACTCATGAGGATAAGGGAATGGTCCCTTTCCCCCTAAAGGATCTTCCCTACTTTCAGGATCAGGAGGGCATGGTTAGAACACATGCAGCCTTAGACAAGAAGGGACCAAGAACTAGCAACGTGGAGTCCTATGATGTGTAGGCATCGGATGGGGGGAGGGGCAGTTCAGAGGAGAGGACAACTCTGCTTGTGTTGTTCTTTCAGATCTGCAGGCCAGCCTGTGTGGCATCTCAAACATTTCTCAGATTCCCTCCTTGGTCTCAGCAGAACACTCAAGGTAGCCAAAGGCAGTGATCCTATTGGTCATGTCTGGGTCCTCCTGTAACCTCACAGGTTCCAACTTCGTCTTGGCCAACTCTCTCTGGGGTTACTCATCCTGCCTCAGGTCTTTTTTATTCCTCATGAGGATGATGGGCACATTGGGACAGAAGGGCTTCACTCCTACTGTCCAACTTCTTAAGGAGGTTCTCAAGGCTGTTTGGGTCATTGATGGAGAAGCACATGAAGATGACATCAGTGTTAGGGTAAGAGAGTGGTCAGAGTGCAGTCTTTCAGTCCAGCTGTGTCCCATAGTGCCAGCTCCACCTGCTTGCTTTCCACTTCAATGTCAGCAATATAGTTTTCAAAGATGAGAGGGACATAGGCTTCAGGGAACTGGTCCTTGCTGAAGACAATGAGAAGGCAAGTTTTGCCACCTTCTTCCAAATTGCAGCCATGGTTGGAACTCAAGCTCTACTCTGTGCTGCATAATCATTGTACTAAGCAAAGAGACTGATACCTCTTTTCCTTTTTTGGGGAAGTGAGCTAGGTGGCATAGTAGATAGAGTGCTGGGCCTGGAGTCAGGAAGACCCGAGTTTTAATCTGATCTCTGACACTTACTAGATGGGTGGCCTTGGACAAATCACTCAACCTTGTTGGACTCAGATTCCTCATCTGTAAAATGAGCTGGAGAAAGAAATAACAAACCACTCCAGTATCTTTGCCAAGAAAACCCCAAATAGGGTAACAAAGAGTCAAACACAACTGAACAATGAGATTATTATATTGATAGGTCAGGGGATTACTGTAGATAAGTGGATTTCAGAAAAGCATTTGAATATCTCTTGGCACATCTTTTTGTACAAGATGAGGAGGCATAGGCTGGATGGTAGCACAGTTAGATAGAACCAATGAATTGGTTCAGAGCATGGTAATTAATAGAATGAGGACAAGGCGGGAGGTCTGCTGTGGAGTGTTGTGTGGTTCTATCCTTGTTCTTATTCCATTCAATATCAATCAGTGCCTCAGATGGAGGCATATTTATCAATTGTGCAAATATCACAAAATTGGTAGGCATAACGAATTTGTTGGATGTTTAAACCGGGATCCAAAAAGGTTGGAACAATGGACCATATTTAATAAGATGTAATTTAATAGGAATAAATGTGAATTATAACCCATGGGCTAAACATACATATACACACACAGAAAAACAAAACCAAATTATATAAATACAGGGGAGATGTGTACAGATAGCAGTTCTTGTGAAAACATCCATGGGATTTTAGTGGGCTGAAAGTTCATTATTAGTCAACATAGTGACAGAACTTCAAAACTCATCATCTTCCTTCCTGAGTTCCTTCTCCCGGGCACTGCTGAATATGTTAACTGGATCAAGATCAAGGCCACAACTCTGAAGCAAGCCACTAGATGGCCTCCTTGGGGCTGATAAGTTCAGTCTCCTATATCTAGATTCTCCATCTTGACAATTGTATGTTAATCAACAGAATCTCAGAAAAAAAAAAAAAAACTTAAGCCATGAAATAGAGCCCGAACCCAGATTCAAGAATCTCTTTCTCTAACATATCTTACAAGTAGTCATCCAGCCTTTACCTAAAGACCAGGTAGGGGTGTTGGGGGTGGGCCTGACACCAAGACCCTGGTTGGTTAAGGTTGGATTTGATGATGAAATGAAACAGTTGTAAGTCATCAGACAGTTAACAAAAGCTGATTTACTTTGCCCTACTATGGAAAGAATATGCCACAAGGATATAGAGGTACATAGATTCTATTGATGCGGCCCCCAAATGGAAACACATCCAGTCAGCAAACTCATTATATTGTTAGAACAGAAAACTACTGTAAATATAACATAACTGGATTTCAGAAAGGCATTTGAATATGGGCAGGGCAGGGTATGGTGATTTTCATGGTGTTTATTCACCGTGTAGGATGGACCAGTTCTGCATGAGTGGGACTTTTTATACCCTTAAGTGACCAGGAAGTTGTGAAGGAAGCCATAGAAGTCAGAAGGCTTTGAACCCTTTGAAACCTGCTTCAAAATTCTAAGATACATATTACCAGCATGTCCTTCCTTGTGAAGCAGACATACAAAGCACTCAGCTTAGGAGCTGCTACCTGCCTTAGGCATTCTCTTTTCCCATGCAGAGATCACCAGAGGATTGAGCTGGAGTCTTCGTGTCTGCCAGACCTTTCTTGTCACAGTGCCCAAACACCAGAATTGTTCTATGTAGATGAGTGCAGAAATTCACAAGCCTCAATTTTGCCAGCTAGGTACAAACTAGGAGCACCTTCTTCCTTGCACTGCTTTAAGTCCAATAATCTCATGTTCCCTAATGGAAATCTACTCAAGGGGACATCCCAAGAGCTCTGGAGATCTGGATCTGAAGCCCCCCAATGCACCCACCAATTTTCCAAGGATACACACCTAAAAACCTATCATGAATCTCACACGCTGATTTACATTTCTTCAGGTTCTGTATGAAATACCAATTCTCTTTCCTTACACAGTTATTCAGACCAGATATTAACTTTCTGCCTTCCACATATTCAAACTACATCAGAAACACCCAGGGAGAAAATTTTCTACTCTGCCAACTAGTAGCACCAGGAAATTATCCTGAAACTCTCCTATAGATCAGGGGATTATTCACAACTATAGGCTACCTCTTCACAGTCTATTCTTAGGTCTTTTTCCTGTTATGGACTCCTTTGAAGTCTATTGACCCCTTCTCAGAATACTGGGTTTTTTTCTTGCTTGTTGGTGAAGCAATTGGGGTTAAGTGACTTGCCCAGGGTCACAGAGTTAGTAAGTGTCAAGTGTCTGAGGCCAGATTTGAACTCAGGTCTTCCTGACTTCAAGGCCAGAGCTATATCCACTATACCACCTACCTGCCCCAGAATACTGTTTTTTTTTTTAAAGCATAAAATTAGATTATGAAGGAAAGTAATTATTTTGAGATAGTTATCAAAATATGATTTTTAAAAAGTTGAAGCTTCTTAAGTTAAGAATCCCTAACTTGGGCTGTTATGAACTCTTAATGTGATCTTAATATGATCATTTTCTCCTATGGCTGCTATTGCTTCCACCATCCATAAAATGGATATGATATTGGTATTTATACCACTACTTTACAGAATTGTTGGAGGAAAGCACTTTGTAAACAACAAAGCATTGTAACTGTGGGATGATGGTACTGACCTGCATTTGTAGAGTGCTTTATGGTCTTTACAACCATAATGAAGCCCAGCCTCCTGTGCAATGCTCCCTTCTGCAATATCCCTGAGAGAAGGTCACCCAGATTCTCCTTGAACATTTCCAGGAATACAGAATTATACACAGAATAAAGCAGTTCATTTTATTTTGTTCGACTCTTTAGGTAGGTCCTCCCCCCTCCCCTTTTTTGAGCTTTATATTATTTCTAATATGAGGCAGGATGGCACCACAGAAGAGTACTAGACTTAGAGTCAGAAAGTCCTGGGTTCCAATCCTGCCTTTGAACTAGCTTTGTGACCCTAGGCAAGTTATTTACCTTCTTTGTGCTTCAGGGAACTCTGTGGGTCTTATGTAGTAATCTGTGGAGGGAAGTTCCACACTGAGAGTTGCTATGCTGGATGATGATTACAGTTCTCAGGATTCTTTTTTGCCAATTACTTTTCATACCCACTTAGTAAGTGGTACTTGGTTAATTTTGGGTAAGTTATTAGTGTTATTAGTTAACTAATAATTATTAGTTAACATAGTTATTAGTTCCTGGATATTAGTTCCTGAAAGCTCTCTAGTTGTTTCATTCTCAACATCAGTAATTCTCCATTCATTCAATCCATCTGGAAAGTGCTGAGTGGATCTGCATCAGTAAGGGTTCTAAATGCTTTCATAAGAAAATGGTAAACCTAGAATTAATCAATCAATTATCATGCCTATATTAAACACTTATTCTATTCCAGGATCTCTTCTAGGTTCTGGGGATACAAATACAAAGAATGAAGCAATCTTTACTCATTGGGAGTTTACATTCTAATGGGGAAGACAAGAGTTCTAAAATAAAAAGAATAAATACAAATAAGTACGACATAGTTAATTCAAGGGTAGTTGGAGAATTGCTTAGCACAGTGCCAGGCACATAGCAGGTGCCTACTAAATGTTTATTGATTGATTGATTGAAGAAATGTGTTAGCAACTGTGGGGATCAGGAAAGGTTTCATGTAGAAGATGGGGCTTAAGCTACATGCTGAAGGAAGAAGGGAATTTTATGATGTAGAGGTGAGAAGCGAATGCATTTCAGGCACAGGAAATGGCCAGTGCAAAGGCATGAAGATGGGAGATGAAGTATTGTGAATAAGAAACAGAGTTGTAAGGCTAGTCTGGATTGAAGAATCCAATGAGGCTAGAAACACCAGAGCCATTATTCATAAGTCAATTTCATAATAAGATTCCCTAGAACTTTTAGGCTAGAAAGATGTAACAAAAAATTCTTGCCATTGTTAAAATATCATCTATGTCTTTATTTAAAGGTTCTTGGATTGCTTTACGATACCTATATGTGATCCTTTCTGTTGTTCCTTTGGGCATTCTGGCCATCGTGGGATTGGTTTTTTATAAGAAATCCAATGGCTGCAGGTATCGATTAATATTTTTAAATGTATGTTTTAAATTTTGCTAGAGAAAAGGCAGGGAGGTAGGGTTTGGGTAGTGTAATTACTTTAGGGAGGGTATTCAGTTAGGAAAGATTTCATGGAAAAGGTAAATTTGGGGGAGTGAATGTCAAATGAAGGAAGGAATTTCATTAACTGATAGAGAAATCAGAGGATCTTCCAGGGATAAAGAATGTTATAGGAAATGGGGTAAAAGCATGGTGAATTCAGCCACATAGAATTTTGGGGCCTAGAAGAAAGGGTGTCTGCCAATAACGTGTGCTGGGAAATTAATTATAGCAATGCCTCCCATGTACCAAGAAGAGATGCCTTCATGTATAGTCTCTGTCTAGTTCAAATAGTTGATGTTTACCTTCCCTTCCTATATTGAAATAAAGCCCATGAACTAAAGTCCATGTCCCACCTTACCCTCCCACATCCTTAGTGTGAGTGTTCTGACTTTCCGGCAAGTACTGAGCTCTCCCTGAGCTGAGATCAGTATATATTCCCAGGAGTAGCATTCAGGGAGAGCTGGTAGCTGAGAAGTAGATATTAATTTCTTATTCATATGTTTTATTTTTTTTTGTCTTAGAAAAAACTAAACTGCTCATTCCTATCAGGACAAGCAAAGGAAAATAGAATAATATGGTTAGGAATTGAGTGCTTCTTTTCATTCTGAAACCTAAGTAGACTATTTGCTGTAGTCATTTCTGCTTACTTTTGTTTTTATTTATTCATTTATTTATTTGTTTGTTTATTCATTTATTCGTTCATCTATCTATTTATTTATATTTACAGGACTTGTAAATCCCCAAAGCCAGAAGCTACTCCAGGGCCTAGAGAGGTGAGATAAAGGGAGAAATTTCTGTGAATCTTTTTTTTTAAATAATTCAGTCTGACTGTCTTATGTTAAGGTTGGTGTTTTGTATGAAAACAAGACATTTTGTTTTTATCACTTTGGGCTGGTCCAATTTGTTTGTGGTCAACCTTTAGGAAGACCTTCCCAATTGAAGCTGAGCTGAAATCCACCTTGTTCCATATTCAAGCATATAAGACTTGAGATTCTTCCAAATTTTCAAAACCATTGGAGAAAGTACATTCATCCTATCTTTTCTAATCTTCCTCAAACCCATTCCTATTTCCAGCTGCCATTTCAGTTAATTGTACCACTTTTCTTTATAGTCACCAAGGCCTAAAACCTGAGACTTATTCCTTGGTTATAGTTACCAACTTTGATGATTATTTTTCTTTTAAAATGTCTCTTATCCGCTGCTTCCTCTTCATCCATGCTTTATCCATTCAAATACAAGCCATCATTGCTTCAACTTATACTATCATAACAATCTTCTTTAAACATATTGTCAAGTGACCATAATTCTCTGTCTGTCTATGATGAATAGATGCTCGGTAATTTCATATTCATTTATTGGTTAATTTATCTTCTTATCTTCAATCACTTCTTGTTCTGGTCTGTTCTATACCTTTTCCCACTTTAACCTGCCTAATCACTCATTTCATCATGTCTCAACATGTCATTAATCTCAATTAATTTCCCCATTGTTGCAGGATAAAATCCAAACTCCTCACCTGGCTTTCAAGGTTCCCTACAATCTGGCTCCATCTACACCTATGCAGTTTTATCTGCCACTATCTCCAAATACATCTTTACATATAGCCAGGCTGTTTTCATTAGAATGTGTTTCTCATAAGCCTTTGCTGAAGGACAAATGAAACAAATACTTATGAAGCACTGTGTATGTCTTTCTCCTTCTTTCCTAACTATTCAGATCTTACCCAACATTTAAGACCAAATTCTAATCTGAGGCCTTCTCTAACCATGTTAACCTCCACAGATGATGTCTTTTTTTGGAGTTCTATAGCACTCATATGCCATACAGACTGTAAATACTCAAGAAATGTTTGTTCAATGTATGAAACATCTCTTTGATTTACACCTACTGTTTACTTACCTATGAGATTGGAGACTTGCATTGTGTATGGCCTTGAGGGTAGTGAGTGTCTGTAAGGAGTCTGATCTTCATAGAATAACAGAGCACGTTTTGGCAATGATTTTTTGGTCTCTGTATATGGGGTTTTAACTTTGGTTTCTATATGAAATTAGGATGAAGTGGAGCCGTATGCCAGCTACACAGAGAAGAACAATCCACTCTATGATACTAGGACTGAGGTGATGATTTCTACAGCTTCATAAAGTGAAGACTTTGGGTTGGAATTCCAGGCAGGACTCACCAAAGGACAGGTTAATCCAGGTGCAATAGAAACCCACTGCTGCTTGTCATGTCCTGGGATTTCTGGGAAATAGAAAACCCTCTTCTGAAACCTCCCAATGTCAGACACTTTGAAAATAGGACACACTTCCTAATAGTCATCAGAAGTGAGATTTTGGGAATCTTAGTAGCTACCAGCTGGTGTTCTTATGAGATGATGGATTACAGAGACATTCCAGCATTTGTCATTTCCTAAGCCCCTTTCACTTGACTAACCAAACTCATATTCTTAGCTAACACAATAAAATATTGAACCATTTATTTAATCATTATTTATTTAGTCATTGATTTAGTCATTCCAGGACTGTTACCTTTTAAAGTAGTTATGAAGCATATGTGTACACACATCTATAAATATATATATATGAATATGTATATGTATATATGTGTATATACACAGACATGCATATGCATAATGTTTGGGATCATGAGACCATGATCTTCATGACCATTAGAAACTTGATTAAGGGGCAGCTAGGTGGAGCAGTGGATAGAGCACCAGCCCTGGATTCAGGAGGACCTGAGTTTAAATCTGGCCTCAGACCAAACACTTAACACTTACTAGCTGAGTGACCCTGGGCAAGTCACTTAACCCCAATTGCCTAAAAATAAAAAAAAAAAAAGAAATATGATTTGATTTAATAACATGATAATTTGGAAATAAGACCATTTTACCACTTTGAATCACGTGGCAAAATATACAATACTAATGAATGTGAAGGTCAATCAGCAAATACTTCTCAAATACCTCCAATATTTTCAGCAGTAACCTAGGTGCTATGGGAGATAAAAAAGAAGGATATGATTCTTGCTTTTAAGGAATTTACAGTTTAACTGAGGAGAGAATGCTAACATCCATGAAACAATAGTAAATAATATGGAATAACTTATAATTATTTATAATGGTATGATATAAGCTATGGATACTCTAGGGATTTAGAATTTTGAGCTATATAGATCATCAAGTATAATCCCTTCATTTTTTTTTTGTGAGGTAATTGGGGTTAAGTGACTTGCCCAGAGTCACACAACTAGATAATCCCTTCATTTTACAAATGAGTCTTATGAAGAAATGACTTGCCCAAGGTCACAAGTAATTGGCAATTGTTGACATTGTTTAGTCATGTCTGACTGTGACCTCATTTGGGTTTTTCTTGGCAAAGATAATAGAGCATTTTGTCATTTCCTTCTCCAACTCTTTTTATGGATGAGGAACTGTAGCAAACAGGGTTAAGTGACTTGCCTGAGATTTGAACTCAGGAAGATGAGTCTACCTGTCTCCAGGCCCAGTGCTCTATCCACTGTGACACCTAGTTGTGCAGTAATGAATTCAAACTCAGGTTTTCTGACTCCAAGTCTAGGACTCTTGTCATTACATCATGAAGATTGAGGAGGGCTAGAATAGTCGGGGAAAACTTCATAAAGGAGATGACATGTGAGTATACTTTGAAAGATGAGCGGAATTGAGATAAGTAAAGGGGAGAAAGGGGGACTATTCCAAGCAAGGAGAACAATATAAAGGAATGAACATGGGCAAAAATGAGCCTGACATTCTTGTGGCACTGAGAAACTGATTCTGAAGTGGAAATTGTGTTTGGAGGAGTAGTGAGGAATGAATTTAAACAGGGATTATGTAGATCAGGCCTGCACAACATATTTTCCCCTAGTTCCACTAGCAGGATACCCCGGACCCTATCTAGGTTAACCTGGCAGTTTCCAGCTAGACCTGGAACCTAGAATGACCCGGCTTCCCTCTCCTCTTACTCTGGAGTCCAGCTCCAATTTTCCTGCTAATGTCACTTCCCCTTTTTCCCTCCTAGCTAGTCAATGGATACCTTCCCCAAATCCTCCCCCACCCCACTCCCATCATCCTTACCCCTGCCAAAGGGAACTCAATCCTCTCTTTATTCTGACCCTGACCCATAGGCCCAATTTCCTCTTCTCAATAATGGCAGCCCACTTTTAGACAGACACATTGATGGATTGTAAGGACTCCTGAGGTTGCTACATTCCTTATATAGGGTGTGCTAAAGCTAGCTCCAATGGTCTTCAGACTGCCTATTGTTAAATATTCAATGTAAGCATTTACACCTTGGGAATCAGCAAACACTACAAATTAGGGCTTAGTTTATTGTTTTGTTGATTGCCTAGACTTAAGAAAGTGATAGAGAAAATGTTAATAATGCAGATTAAACTTAAAAGTGTGTCCAGGAAGGAGGTAGAGCCAAGATGGCAGAGAAAAGACAGCTACTCACCTGAGCTCTCCCCCAAACCCTTCCAAATACCTGTAAATAATGCCATAAAACAATTTCTGAAGCAGCAGAACACACAAAAGGACAGGGTGAAATAATTTTCCAGCCAAAAACAATTTAGAAGATTGGCAGGAAAGATCTGTGGCACCTGGGTGAGAAAGGAACATAGTCCAAAGCATGCTGTACCAGTACAGACTGGGCCTCAGTGAACCAGGGGCAGGCCTTGCAAGCCACTGAATCAGCAGCAGCAGCTGTTTCTGGAGTTCTCAGCCCACAGATGGTGAAGGGATTGGATAATGGATTCTGATGATCATGAGATTACAGGGGTCTCTTTTCTGGCATTGGGGGCAGGACTCTGTTGCTTTGCCCATACTCAGATCTGGGTTGCAGTCCTGGGTGGCAGTCCCAGGGTGAGGAGGAGCGCTAGCACACCTGAGCTTGCAGCTGCAGTGGAACAGGGACCCTCATCACAGTTCCAGGGCAGAAAAGAGTGCTTGTGGTCACTCACAGACCAGAAGACAGACCAGGAGAGTGGCAAATGCACCTCATCTTATATTGTACCACCATGGAAGAAGTGAAAACTTACAGGTCCCTAAAAGGATCTCTGAAAACAGCTGCATGAACCCCATGAAGATTGGGACAGTACGTCCTCTACTATGGAAACAAAGCCCTACTTTAACAAAGAGTTAAAAGTCAAGAAATAGACTGGAAAAATGAGCAAACAACATAAAAAAATTCTTACCACAGAAAGTTACTATGGTGACAAGGAAGATCAAATCACACACTAAGAAGAAGATAACAAAGTCAAAGCTCCAACATCCAAAATCTCCAAGAAAAATATGAATTTGTTTCAGGACATGGAAGACCTCAAAAAAGATTTTGAAAATCAAGTAAGAGAGGTAGAAGAAATGAGAGCGATGCAAGAAAATCATAAAATAGAGTTCAACAGCTTGGTGAAAGAGACACAAAAAAATAATGAAGAAAATAACACCTTAAAAAACAGACTAGGTCAAATGGTAAAAGAAGTACAAAAAGCCAAACGAGGAGAAGAATGCCTTAAAAAGTAGAACTGGCCAAATGGAAAAGGAGGTACAAAGGCTCACTGAAGAAAATAATTCTGGAAAAAGTTAGAATTGAGCAAATGGAAGCTGATGACTTTATGAGAAATCAAGAAACAATGAAATAAAATGAAAAGAATGAAAACAGAAGACAATGTGGAATATCTCATTGGAAAAACAACTGACCTGGAAAATAGATCCAGGAGAGATAATTGAAAAATTGTACTACCTGAAAGCCATGATCAAAAAAAGAGCCTGGACATCATCTTTCAAGAAATTATCAAGGAAAACTGCCCTGATATTCTAGAACCAGAGGTTAAACTAGAAATGGAAAGAATCCACTGATCACCTCCTGGAAGAGATCCCCAAATGAAAACTCCCAGGAATATTATAGACAAACTCTAGAGCTCTCAGGTGAAGGAGAGAATACTGTAAGCAGCCAGAGAGAAACAATTCAGGTATTGTGGAGCCACAGTTAGGATAACACAAGATTTAGCAACTTCTACTTTTAAAGAATTGGAGGGCTTCAAATGTGATATTCCAGACAGCAAAGGAGTTAGGCTTACAACTAAGAATCACCTACCCAGCAAAACTGAGCATAATCCTTCAGGGGAAAAAATGGACATTCAATGATATAGAGGATTTTCAAGCATTCTTGTTGAAAAGACTAGAGCTGAATAGAAAAATTGACTTTCAAATACAAGACTCAAGAAAAGCACAAAAAGATAAACAGGAAAGGGAAATCATGAAGGATTTAATAAGGTTGAACTGTTTACATTCCTACATAGGAAGATGATGCTTGTAACTCATAAAAACTTTCTCATTATTGGGGCAGTTAGGAGAATATATAGACAGAACACATAGGTGTGAGTTGAATATGAAGGAATGATGTTTAAAAAAATAAAATTAAGGGATAAGAAAGAGGAATACACTTGGAGTCAGGCAAAGGGAGGGGTATAATGGGGGTAATCTATCTCACATAAAAAACTTTTACAGTGTAGGGGAAGATGGGGAAGGTGAGGGAGAGTGAGTGAACCATACTCTCATCAGAACTGGTTCAAAGAGGGAATAATATACACACTCAACTGGGTGTAGAAATTTATCTTACCCTATAGGAAAGTAGGAGGGGAAGGGATAAGAGAAGGGGGAAGGTTGATAGAAGGAAAGGTAGATTGGGGGGAGGTGGTAGTCCGAAGCAAAACACTTTTGAGGAGGACAGAGAGAATAGAATAAATAGGGATAGGGAATAAGATGGAGGGAAATACATTTAGCAATCATAACTGTGAAAAAAATTTGAAGCAAGTTTCTCTGAAAAAGGCCTCATTTCTTAAATATATAGACAGCTGAGCCAAATTCATAAAAAATTGTAAATGATCAAGAGATAGGAACAGTTTTCAGATGAAATAAAGCTATCTATTCATATGAGAAGGTGCCCTATATCGCTATTGATTGAAGGAGTGCAAATTGAAACAATTCTGAGGTACCACCTCATACCTATTAGACAGGCTAATAGGACAGAAAAGGAGAATAACAAATGTTGGAGGGGATGTGGGGAAAATGAGACATTAATGCACTATTAGTGGAATTGTGAACTGATTCAACCATTCTTTAGAGCAATTTGGAGCCATGCCCAAAGGGCTATAAAACTGTGCATAGTAGTAATGCCACTACTAGGTCTATATCCAAAAAGAGATAAAAAAAAAAGAGAGAAAATGTTCTATATATATAGAAATATTTTTAGTAGCTCTTTTCTTATGGCAGGGAGTTGAGGATTAGGAGGATGCCCATCAATTTTGGAATAGCTGAACAAATTGTGCTATGTGATTGTGATGGAATACTATTGTGCTACAAGAAATGATGAGCAGGATGCTCTCAGAAAAAACCTGGAAAGACTTACATGAGCTGATATAAAATGAAATGTACTATGTACAAAGTAACAGCAATATTGTAAGATGA